GGCCGAAAGTATGAGGCATCCAGTGAGGATCGAACTCACTTTTCAGTTGTAATTGTTCTAGCAACACTAGAACCAGCATCTATAGTGTCGAGTACCATAGATATTGGTTTTAGTGTTGCTATTATTATTATTATTAAACAATACGAAGTGACAAACAACGAATAAACCAACAGAAAAAGTTATCCCGTAGTGAATGATCCGAGGGTAAAAGACCGTGCACACATTGCAAATAATACGGATACAGGATCTGCCTTTGAAGTACCATCCATGAGGCACTGAGATGTACGACATGCTAGGGCCACTTGAGGTGTACTGATGCCTGGATCGTCTCCGACAGCCCGCAGAATGTGTTCTTCGTGGTCAAGCGTACAAGCTGACCTCTGTCTTCCTCGATTTATAGTTTGTGTTGCCACGGATCCTATCTCAGCAATGCGACAATAAACACCAGCAAAGGTTGGATATTTCGTCTGCCTTCAATCTGTAAACGCAATCCGATGTAGCCGTGTAACCTCGTGTCCATTACAATTCGCGTGACCGTATGTAAAAATCATATCTGCCTTCTCACGATATGAATACTCTGCTAATGTTAAACGAAGACTTCTCGGTTAAATCACATGTTAATCATTGAAGACAGACTAGCCACACATGTACACGAATGACAAATGTAACCTAGTCTTCATGGCAACACAGCGCCATCTTCCGTAAACTTCCTTTAAACTTAATAACTCAAAAGGAAGGATTTGCACACATTTGTTTATATGGACTTTTGCCCTTGTTTTGGTGTGAGGAACACGCTCCCAATGCTTGTAAAGTATTTTTGACACACCGTGTGTGTGTGTGTGTGTGTGTGTGTGCACACACACACACACACATATATATATATATATATATATATATAATGTGTGTGGTGAGTAATTGTTGATTTTAATAGACTGATCGATATATTCCTTTGCCAATTTAGTTTAGTCTTAGTAATCCCAGAAAATAAAACACCTTATTGTCTTGACAATGTTCTTTTTTTGACAAAACCATTTTTCATTTTTTGAAATTTTTTGGTAGAACATAGTACACGTCGAGTAAGCCAAAAACGGGTTCTTCTTCAAAATTCCTGACTGCATTTTCGAGATAAGGTGTTGAGACTAATATACAATAATTCTTTCCGTGTCTGTTTTATTTGTACCGCAAGCCGTTTTTACAACTTACAAAAAAATTATCGGACGATGTGCTTTCTTTCATATGAATGTGTTTTTTCATTTTTGTTGTTCATACCATTTCGACTGTTGCCCTACAACTTTCTTCAGGTATTTCTCGTATTCGTTAAACTTTCGGTAATTCCGAACAAAGCTTTACATTTAATGCTTTAATACCAGTTATGTCCGAGAGAATTTCCCAACTCGTAACTCTCAGTTCTCTCTGATGGTGTCGCGCTCAATTGAGCCATTATATTTTCTTGTATTTCCGTAACTAATTCAATTTTATCAGCGCTTTTAGGACACTCAAACTGAATGTTTGGCATCTTGAACTTCGTTTCCTAATTAGAAACTACTGTATGGTGTTTATATTTATGCTTGACGTAGTGATTTGATTATCTGATCATAACACGTGTGCTGATTTTTTCAAGCGTCTAATTTTCCAGTACTGTTTTGTATCTATACTTTTGAATTTATTCCATAGAAACTGGTGTGACTCTTTTTCTTCCCTTTGTCGTAGGAGTGGCTATTTTCGCAATTGTATTCTCTGCTAAAATTAAATGCGAAAGTATATAGTTTTTGGTTATGTTTGCTGCCAAGGGAAGTTTGTAGCCTAGAAAGATTGGAAACTTTAGCGTAGATTCTGTTTTGCTTTGAAATTTGTGTCTGAATGCGATGGATATTTGAAGAAGGCTAGGAAATTCAGCGGTTGAAACACATTCTCCGCTGTTTTTTTTTAAAGAAAACCTTTTTTTATCGGCTGATGAAGTGAATAAAAAAAATCAGGAAACAAACTGAAAATGTCCGAGGTTAAATAATCAGTTTTTTATACTTTTATTTATTTCGCGAAAGAAAATATTTTTCCAAATTGTTGATTTGAATTTCTTTTTTTATTACGGATATAAATTAAAGTCGTTATTCCTGTGTCTCTCTTACTCTCCTTATCAGTGTCTCTCTTACTCTCCTTACCAAATGTCTCTCTTATTCTCCTTACCAAATGTCTTTCTTACTCTCCTTACCAAATGTCTTTCTTACTCTCTTTACCAAATGTCTCTCTTACTCTCCTTACCAAATGTCTCTCTTACTCTCCTTACCAAATGTCTCTTTTACTCTCCTTATCAGTGTCTCTCTTACTCTCCCTGCCAAATGTTTCTCTTACTCTCCTTCCCAAGTGTCTCTCTTGCTCTCCTTACCAAGTGTCTCTCTTGCTCATTATAAATTTATCTCTTACTCCCTCAATTAATCTCTTTTACTCCTCTCTTTATCAATATCTCCCTTACTTCCACACTTTTTCTCTTTATCAATCTTAATTCCTCACCGTTTCTTACCTCCGTTATCAATAACCTTCTTTTGCATACATTTCTTACACTTTATCCTTTTTTCTCTTTCTCATTCTGACACAATCTTATAGTTAATGGTTAAAAAAACCCTTCAGTCACCTACATTCTGAAGCCTTCATTCTCCTCAACGGTACATTTCATAAAATTTCACTTTCATAATTATAGGGAAATTTCATTAAATTAGTTTATTTTCCGTTTTAAAATGTACACTTGAGATTTTATCAATGGTTGCTACTGAGGAACTCGGCGAGAAAAGATCATCTTATCCCCAGTCTTCCTTTTACAATGGTTTACAGCCAGTCAGAACAGCTGCTTTATAAGACTCTTTATTAGAGTTTTGTTAGAATCCAAGGAGAAAGGGATTGTCCGAGATTTTCTGTTGGACTTCCTGATTAAGCAAATAATGCGGTCAGAATGGAATTCAAAAATCGTCAAATGTTTTTGCGTTAGTTTTGAATCGCTGGAGATTGACCCCGTTGGAGGAAGCGGGAAAACGATTCTGCAAAATGACAATTTGTGGGAAGCTCATTCTAATTCTGTGTCATTCTAGAGACAGACACCTGTCTATATTAAACACATTCAATCGGCTATTTTATAGGTCCACCATCCGTGGTTATCTCCACTGTGTCTATTATTACAATTTAAAAAAAAATACTTAATTGCAGCAAGGATTTCTGAAACGGGAACACCAAAGATTTTAATTCTAACGCAGATTTTTCAAAATATCGAACTTTTTGACTTTCACTGAGTTCCAATTCCGAACCTTTATCCATTACATCACCCCCCTATCAAAACTTACAGAACCTAATATACTCATGCGGTCACCCATCTAGGCTTAACCTCGGGTAACTTCGTACAAGAACCGGTACTTCAACGGGATATGACCGTAAACCCTTTGTTGTTGTAGGGTTTTAAATTTTAGGTAACGGTATGTTGTCTGTTGGTTTTGCTTTGTAGTAGGCATTTGTGTGATTGAAATTTTTCATTGTAGGTAAGTTTTAAGTGATCAATTGTTACTGTGTCTTTCTTTGTAATTCGTTTGGTTTGTTTTGTTTTACAGCATATCAACCTCAATGGCTTATTTAATGCCGATAAAACTTTTACTACTGGTAATATTTTTTTCAAAAATACATTGCTGCTAAAATTTTTTCCAAAAATGTATTGCTGGTAATAATATATCGTTGGTAATGATTTTATCTTGAAAAATTCTTTGTTGCTAATAACCTTTTGCCAAAATGTATTGCTGGTATTAAAACCTATTTTTACCCATTCAGTGTTTTGACCCCAGTTTAGGGATTAACTATTTGCCTGGGACCTTAACAAGTGCTACCACCCCGGGTCAGGGTGGACCTGGGAACACCGGCAATTAAGACCTCAAAAACTGATCAGAGGCCTTGCTGCACAATGTAGTTTATCGTCTTACCCAGGACGCTCTGTGTACTTTTTCAAGATACATAAATGTCAAATTTTGCGCACAAGCTTTATATTTTCGGAATTCACCGCGTGCTGCATGAAGAAGAATGGGGTTAATGGGGTCAAAAATTAATGTAAACGTTATTTACAAGTAGAATACGGTTATTACATATATAAAATTCTTATTTATTGTCAAATTGTTCTGGTACTCAACGTAGTTGGTTGGTTGATTTTGTTTAGCGACATATATACCTTTATGGGCTATTTAACACGCAAATCTAAATATTTTGAATAATTTTATGCCTTCAACTACTTATAAAATCTTTTGTTGATAATTTTAATATAAATATGAATTGTTGATAATTTTAATATATGTATTGTTGATAATTTTAATATAAATATGTAGTGTTGGCAATTTTTGTTATAGAAAATGAATTGCTGGTATTTTTACTATAAAAATATATTTTTATACTTTCGTTTTTGATTGGGGGGTTCACTAATTGCCCATAGCTGGTACCCTAATAGGTTCTACCACCCTGGATCAAGGTGGAGATGGTAACAACAGCGTATCTTCAAATCTCCTGATCAGAGGCATTGTTGCCGGATGTAGTTTATCATTTTACCCAGAACTAACCAAATGTAGTTATAGAAATTCTTTGATTTAAGCTATGAGACCGATTTCAAATACGCGCTGTCAGCTGATTCGTGAGTCTTTTTCTGCGAACTTACTGGCTATCAGACAAGGTCTTTTTTATGTGGATCGTTGCCAAATATGACTGGTGCCACAATCCTCAGGATGTGCCGCTAATCCTACTTCTTTCCGTGAAAAAAAGGCGGTACCATTTTTGGTGGACCGATTCTCGGTCACCAAGCTAAACAGCAACGACATCAAAGAAACTTTTTTAGTTTTTGCGAGTAACATTGACGCAAGTATCAACTTTTAATTTTGGAATTTAACGAGCTTTCTTGCTTTCTTTTTCTCTTACTTTTTTCTTTCTCTTTCTTTATTTCTTTCTTTTTATTTCTTCCTTCTTTCTTTTCTTTTTTCTTTCTTATTCTTTCTTTCTGTTTTTTTTTCTTTCTTTCTGTTTCATTTAATCCACGAATTCGAAGTCTCACCAAGAAAAGCAAAATGGTGGATTAATTCTGATTTAGACGATAAAAATACGCCAAAAAAATAAAATTAATCTTAGTCATGTAACTTAATTTGCATATTTAAAAAAAAAAATTATTGCTGAACAGAGTAAATAGACATCGAAGGAATTTGGTCTATTTTCGCCACTGATAATGAAAATTTTGAGTCACATCAGTTCCCGGTTACGAAGTATGGAAATTCTAAAATCTGTGTCCTCGGATTCGTTTTATGGTCAGAACTGCCATTTGGTATGTAGATGAGAAAACTCAAGTTAGGAAACAGTCAACTTTCTTTAAATAAGTCAACAATAGAAAAACACTCGTTTTAAGCATCAACTGATTTTAGTTGAGCCTGATCATGCTTAGCTATTACATAATACCTCAATAGTTTATCCTAACAAAATTTTCCTGTTTTTTTTAATACTTTGCTTAGCTTTTGTCAGGGAATAATACCAGTAAAGAAGCAATTCCTTTGTACACTGGTTGAGCTTCGTTGGTAATGTGGGTTGTCTGAACGGATCATCTTATATATAAAGTATAGTGTATGTGTCTGTGTGTGGGTGTATCTGTCCAAGCAACTCCTCCGCTCCCACTGGTCCGATTTCAATGATTCATAGCTCATTTAAAAGCACAAGAAAAGTTAGGCGCAGGGAACGATTTTCGTTGAGGTCAGATTCAAGGTTGCCAGATTATGCGAGGTTAAATATATATATATTAATATATTATACTGGCCATTATTGTTGCGTTCATGGTTCAAGGGGAGTAACTCTTATTTTCCTTTTGTATCCCAAATCCAAAATTGCAGCAAATTTTCTGAGACACAGAGGAAGCTGTGGAAAGCCATGGCTGCGTATGTCCTGAAGGACACCCATTTTTTTTTTTGACAAAATCTTGTCACTGTATCTTTCAGTTTTTGAAGTGACAAGAAGAGATGTAAAGAAATTTATTATTTGTTTCTTGAAGTAGTCTTTCATAAAGTTGAATTAATTTAGGAGTCTTGGTGCGATGGTAGCATTTATTATTATTCAAGATTGAACTTCGGTATTAGATTTCTTGTGGGTGTCTGGAAAGCACCTTTTGAACCATTTTAAGCTTAGCATACTTCTATGTGCCGTGACGATCATGGTTCTCCACAACTTCCTATCCTTTGCAGCTCTCAGAAAAAAGCCTTTGTTATCCCTCCTAATCACTGTTCTGCCTCTCTTGTCTGTGAGTGTCAAATTTTCTAAACCCTCTTTCCTCATTGTGTGTCTTTCTGTAGAACCATACCTCTGTTGCCACAAATATCCTCCCCATCTGTGAGGAAATTGTCCAGCATTCGCGACCATATAGAAGGAATGATATGACATACCAGTTCAGTACTCTTTTCTCTATCTCTAATAAAATAGTATTAGCTACATAATAAAATGATAGATAAAATGATAGATAAAATAAATTCTCAGCATCCTTCTGTAGAAACATATCTCTGTTACCTTAAATCTCCTCTCCATCTGTGAGGAAATTGTCCAGCATTCGCTGCCATATAGAAGACTTATATGACATAACAGTTCGGTACTCTTTTCTTAGTTTCTAATGAAAATTTCCCCGTTTCTTTATACTCCAGACTCGGCGTTACAACATCTGAAATTGCCCCGACCTGACAGTTAGTTAGCAAAAGCAAGCTTAATGTTCCCAGGCCAAGCTTCTGCCAATGAGTTATCAACAGGCAACTCCCTCCCATCACCTAATTCTGAGGATGTTATTTTTTGACATTGGGGGAAGTTTTCATTTGGCAAATAAAAACATACCTCCTTTTCCGGCAATGACTGCTTGGATTTTGCAAACCGGTCGACTCACAAAAAAACACGACGACAACAATGAAAAGGAGAAAGAAATAGAGAAAGAAGAATTAGAAAATATATTTATTAAGTTTAGCTTAGTATGGCACAAGTAATTGGGGGAAAATTGTTCTCCGTCCTGGGTATGGCGATAAACGTCACCCGCGTCTTGGGTATGACGATAAACTTCACCCGCGTCTTGGGTATGACGATAAACGTCACCCGCGTCTTGGGTAAGATGATAAACTACATCAGACAGCAAGGCCTATGAGCAGAAAGTTTTGAGGAGCGTAGAACCAGATTTTAATTGCTGGTGTTCCCAGGTCTGCTTTGACCGGGGTGGTAGCACCTATCAGGGACCCAGCTATGCGCAAATAGCTAACCCCCACAAAAGGGGTCAAAACACTATGAAAGTATAAAAATAGGTTTTAATACCAGCAATACTTTTTTTGGAAAAAAATTACCAGCAATACATTTTTGGAAAAAATTTACCAGCAATACATTTTTGAAAAAAGTATTACCAACAATATATTTTTGAAAAAAAAAAAAAAAAAAGCAGCAATAAAAATCAGCATTAAATATCCCATTGAGATTGATATACCATAA